CCTTGAGGAGCACCCGGAGGCTCCAGCTAGTCCAAAATGCGGCCGCGCGGGCGGTGTTGGGAGGGACTCGTCGCTCCCACGTAACACCGCTGCTGCGCGAGCTGCATTGGCTGCCGGTGGCCTTCCGGGTGCGCTTCAAGGTGCTGACCATCATCTTTAAGGCGCTCCATGGCATCGGACCGGGATATCTTCGAGACCGTCTTCTGCCGCAGATTACCTCCCATTGGCCTGTACGCTCCCACAGGGTGGGTCTCCTCAGGGTGCCGTCGGCCAGACAGTGCCGGCTGGCGACCCCAAGGGGGAGGGCCTTCTCTGTGGGAGCTCCCACCCTCTGGAATGAGCTACCCCCAGAGATCAGGGTGATCCCTGATCTCCCTTCCTTCCGCCACGCCCTTAAGACATGGTTATTCCAACTTGCAGGACTGGCCTAGGGGAAAATTTTAATGGGGGTTTTAAAGCAATTTTTAAATCAACTTGACCAAATTACTAATATTTGTTTTTACTTATGTTTTTAACTGTAGTTTTTGGGGATTAGTGTTTTATCTGGTTGTTAGCCGCTCTGAGTCCGCAAGGAGAAGGGCGGGATATAAATTAAATTAATAAATAAATAAATAAATAAATAGTTTGACCATGAATGTATCTGAGAAACTAAGATATTGGAATTTCATTTAGAAAGAAAATCCTTTATATTAATATTTTTCCTAAATAAGATTCAATTTAAATATTAACTCAATGATTATTTTTTTCCCCAAAGTTTAATATTGTACAATATGTATATCCCTCCTTACCACAGGCAGATGCTTTTAGCCTTTTTTTTTTAAAAAAAAAGTCTTTTAATCTGACAATTTTCTTTATTAGACTCGACACAATTAAGAAGGTAATTTGGCTTTACTCATTAAGACCATGTATTGCTAAACAACCCTCAGAAGACAACTGTTGTTTTAAATATAAAAAAAATCAAATTCAAAGTTGATCAGCATGTTAAACAGAACAAAGCACTAGAAAACTGTACAATGTTTAGTACAGATTTATATTTTAGTGTGGATATCTCTATTAGTTTACTGGAGAAAATACACAGATATATAGAATTGCATAAAAATAATTGGTATCTGTTCATACTACATGGGAAAACCATCTAAGACCATTTCCATTTCTGACTTCTTAAATAAAAGACAAAAGATAGAATCTTAGAATGACCTAAATGCTCAGGTTTAACTGATTATTTTGAATGAATTCAACATTGCTGAAATGTTCTATATTGGGTTTTGGCAAAATACTATGTTCCAGACCTTTGAGAAATGCACTGAATCTTTCAAAGCCCAATCAAAAGAGAGAAACAAGATAAAGAACAAGTAAAAACAGGATGGTGAAACAAGCCAAAGACACAGAAAACACATCATAAGCGGCTCTAGCCATTTTAGCTCAGAGCCTGGGAGATCATCTGCAGATGGTCTTGTGGCCCATCCTTATGAACCAATTCCTACTTCAAAAAGTATATTTCTGGAAAATGACTAGGGCTTCCAGGAGGAAAAAATGGAAAGTTCCCTGCCCAGAACATAAGAGTTTTAAATATCCCTGGTTATATGTAAATGTATGAATTGGTACTATTTGGACTCTGAGGTCTGGTTATCAATATAGCAAATGAAAAATATTTTAATTTTAGTAGTTTTATACATGCTGCTTTTAGAAGCATTGGTATTGTACAAAGCAGATGACCTAAGAAGGATTTAAGATTAATTTATATAATAAGTCAAGGAAAATTTGAACTCTTGTTTCCAAATTGTTATTGGAGAACACTCCTGATTTAGTACACTATTCAGGGTAAAAGATAATTAACTTTGTGTCATGATGTCAGGTCATAAACGATATAATTTACACAAATCAACATATTCAACAGACTTTTATTGTTTTGGGGGGACGTCCAAAGAAAAATTTCTTCTCATAGCTGAAGTCTGGTAAATCAAGTTTACTCTAATAAATTTAATCAGACAAGCCATTTTTTTTCACACTGTCTACATATACAAAAAAAGTGTAGGCAAAAGCAGAATAGAAGTAAAAGCATTAAACATATTCTCAGGTCTGTCCAGTTCATATCAAAACAGTTAGAAACAGAGCTTTTAAGCAATAAAACTCCTTCCAGAATGCCCTCCTGCAAACAAAAATGTTATGATTCAGCTCAGAAGCAAGAAAACCAGTGATGATGAAAGCAAACAACAAAAAGGAAAACACAGTAATTACTCACAGGGTTTCTCAATATATCATCGTCTACATCAAAATTTGATGTATCTGAAGGACTGCTAACTTCTGGAATGTAGGGTGCTTCTAAATTTCGGATATTATCCCAATTGAGTCCTTCAAAAAATGCATGTGATTTGAAATCTTCTATTCCATTCTGCCCCAGACGACGTTCCCTGCTGCAGATAAGTCGTTGGATTAAGTCTTTTGCTCCTTCAGATACATCAGTAACATGAGATGGAAACTGGAACCTCTCCTGAAGAACAGGAAGGAAAATCTGAATTGAAAATATTCTTTTCTATGACAAAATATTTTTAATGTGTACATTCAAACCATTTTTTAAAAAAAAACTACAGAAGGCTTCCTGAGCTTCAAAATTTGTTAAGTGTTCTTGTTTTTAGACTTCCTATTTTTTTAATGTTAGTCATGAATCTTTGGAGTTGCTTGTCTGAAGAAACATCCTTAAATATATTTTATTTCAATATGTTGTACTTGTATTTGTTTTGCTGAATCTGCTCATTTTAAGTCCGCTTTGCCACAAAAATTATAGTGAAAAGGTTTTCAGAAATAATTGAATGATATATTCCAAGTATATAATTACAAAGCTCTGAGAAATACCTGTTCTGAACATTAGTCACAGAAGATTTTTCTTAGAAGATACATTGAGCAATGCAGTTACTCATGTACACAAACACAAAGATCTTGGATCCATGTTACATATTTCTGTGAAGATTACAGTTAAGAAGAGCAAACATTTCATAGCACTTACTTCATGATTCATAATCTTCCCATAGGTTTCCACCAGTGACTCTGCATAAAAAGGTGTTTCTCCATATAACATTTCATACATGCAGACACCTAAGGACCACCAATCACATTCAGGTCCATATTTTCCCATGCCATCCTCCATGGCTTGCAGTATTTCAGGGGAAATATAATCAGGGGTGCCGACTGCAACTGAAGATTGTACCTTGAATAGAAACAAATATTAAGTCTTAATGTAAAAAAGTATATCAGGAGAAATTAATTTAATTGTATGCATATGTAAGTCTATAGATCAACAAGCATTACTGATATACAAAAGGAAAAGTTTATGCTTTCTTGTATTATGAAGTATAAATGACAATAATCATATGACTATTTTCTTGTTTACAAAATAATTGGCCATGAAACAGCATAGGAAACACAAGGATACTCCACTCATAAAGGATACATAGCAGTTCTAGATTAAACATATTGCAGAAGAATGATACAATATAAAACATTGCTATATTTATCTCTGCATGTATCTTTATGTAGTACTTTTGTAACATATCTTCCAAATATAACCACCAAACAAGCTCAAACACACTGCAGTTTAAGTAGTCTATTTAAAAAAACTATACTTTTTTGATACATACAGTGCCATCCTCGCTCATCTTTAAACAGGATCCAAAATCTGCCAGACGTATGTGGCCATTCGCATCCAATAAAACATTGTCAGGTTTTATATCTCTGATTTTTCAAAAAAGAAAAAGATATTATTTTAAATGAGGCACATAGTTGGAACATTACCTTCAACCACATGCTGTAAATGAGCATTAAAATCAAGTCAGTTGTTATAAAAATAGGATACTGACAATTTTATAATAACATTTATATTTAAAAGCTGATATTTTATAACAGCAAAAGATCAAATAATCTATCCCAGAAAAATAAACTCTTATATCACTATAAAGAATACTATAAAGAATCGCTATGATTATATAAGCCTATCAAATTAAATTCACACACTGAATAGGACGTGCATACTTTGTAAATAATTTGAAAGAATAATTTGGAGTTTCTAATTTGGTTCATTAGCTATTGTACATTATTTTTTCAAGTTTGTACAGAAGTCTGAAACAAAACATGGGTCTTCAAACACCAGCCAGGATGCACTGCATTTGAACAAATTCTGAAAAATTTCTTCCAAATCACTTTTGAACTGTGCTGCTTTGTCAAAGAATTTCCTGATTTCCTATTTCCTTCAAAGTACATATTTTAATACATTTATATAGTTTTCACAAAAAAATAGCCCCACAAACAACAATGAAAGATATCTTTATACATGCAAACGTTCATAATTGCTTTGGTTTTGTTGCTAAATTGAACATTTAATTTGAATCGTAATAATGTGTGAATTTGCTAAGCTTGTTAACTTTTCAGGAAATGATGTTTAATAAATATTCTGGATGTTTATTAGACTAAAAAAAATAACATTCATAGACCTAGCAAAAAATAAAACCCAAGTATATATCTGCCATACTTCATGAGTGTATTTATGAAATTATTTTGAAGGAAAAGTTCCAAGCACAAATTAAAGAAAACTCATCTTCTACACTGAAAAAATAGCACAATTAATGTGTGAAGAAAAACTATTGCTACGAACTATATCTTACACTAGATCAATATCCACATATACTGCAGGTTTTATCACGTGTTTCTCATCTGTTTACCGAAGATTCTTTTGGAACACGTATTCCTAAGAACAATTTGACAATAAAAATGCACAACACGTACTTTGTCTCCCATTTCCTCTCACAGTATAAGAGGAAGGAAGGTGATTAACTACTGAAGAGCTTTAAAACTGTGGTATTTCTTTCAAAGCTTCACTAACACAGGGACTTTTTCTGCCAGCAAAACAATCTGCAAAAAGAAACACTAAGAGCTAATAGAGGTTTCTTTCCTGTACAGTGTAATCAGAATACAGTAATGCAATACATGTGTACTAAAGGTAAACCTCATTGAGTTCGGAGGGACTTACTCTGAGGTAAGCATGCATAACATTGCAGCATAAACAAGCAATAGCATTAATGGACAGCTATATTAATTCACATCACTGATTTTTTTTTCCTCCAATTTTATATATATATATATATTTATTCTAAAAGGCTAATTCCATTTTGCTAGCTAGCTTTGATCAAAGCAATAAGTCTTCAAATGATTTCCTGAGGTAATATAGTAATATCAAAAGGTTATCAAAAGCCATTTTATATTTAGCAAGATAAAAGTTACTTTAATAGAAAACTAGTAGCCTGCTGAAATATTAACAAACTCTTTAATCACACTGCTCTATACAATCAACATTGTTTGTGATGGTTTTATATAGATTGTAGCATTACATTGTGCTAGGAGTAACAACAGTATAGTGGATTTCATTTGTGATAGATGCTGTTCTGCACTAAAATCCACAAAGCCCAATTCTTCCAAGATATACTTTATATGTCATGCACTAACTAGTGACTCAACGCCCCCCCCCAACTTCCAGCTGTTTCAACTATCTCAGAAATTAATATTCTCCTTTTGATATTCTGAACGTATAACATTATGTACATGAAAACAAATCTTTGGCAATCCAGCTTGCTTCTGACTTAATTATTCCTTCAGTTTATCTTTAATGCCATGAAGCAGACGACTGCATATTTAATACATGCCAGCACAGACTAATTAGCTTGAGAAGTTCCCACAGCAACTCAATATTATTACTGTTTAATTCCTTTGCGAGATCTGGAACTGACTTACCTGCAAAAAGGATATCTCAGGATTTGTAGCAGTCTATTAAATAAAATAGTGCAGATATATTGCTTTATTTACTAGGACTCATATGCTATAGGATGGGTGGCTTACATTCTCTTCTTATAAGAAAAGAATTTAACAACAACAACAACAATGATCCCACCTTTTTAAAATATATAGTTTAGTCAATTCAAGAGAATATGCTTGCCTCCTATTTTCCCCATAACACCACCCTGTGAGGTGGGCTGAGCTGAAAGAGAATAATTGGCCCAAAGTCACCCAGCCCACTTTCATGCCTAAGAGAGGCCTAGAACTCCCAGGCTCCAGGTTTCTAGTTCAGTACGTTAACCACCAAAGCATACTGTCCTAAACTGTATACTAAATTAATAAACTACAGTACAAAATAGTAAGTTATTAAAAAGAAATTAATGTCATTGCAAACAAGTAACATCCAAGTGCAACTTATACAAGATCCCCACCCAGTGCTTCTTTAAAAAACAAGTTTTAACAGCTCTCCTAAAATACAATAGGGTGGAGTTAGTAAACTGCTCCAAACAAGTGGGGCTACTTGACAGAAAGTGCAACACCCTGGGCTACATATTTGACAAAACCTAAAAGAAAAGAGTGTGGAGTGATTGAGCTTCCTAATCCTGTAACTAATGTCACCTTACATTAAAAAAAAATCTATGTGAGGCAAGTTTATTTTTGATGCTGTCTTAATGTTTATAAACATGTACAGACTTTGTTCAAGATTACAACAGTAAAAAGCTCAAAATAAGTACTCTTAAATTCAAGAACATATTATTTTCTTTATTCTTCATAAATACAGCATCACATTCTAGATATAATCTCATTAGTAAATATGGAAGTTTCCTTCACGTAGATTTTACTACTTACATACTGAATTTGTTGCAACTGTGGTCTTTTACAGTATAGTTACTTCAGTATGAAAACTGCCCATGCTGGTACTTATGAATAAGAAATGCACCTATTTATTTAGAGTGCTCAAAAGCACACATAAAACTGTTGTGTGAAAGACATGGACAAAATTTTTATTTATTCTTAAAGGATATATCCAGTTTTCTTTGGTTCAGGTTCAGAACATTAGTCTGAAAAACTGTAACAGGACTCATTTGTGCAGCAACTTATTGCCTGACAATTAGGATATTAAAAGTTTTCCTTCACTGGCACAGGTTTTCAATTTTTAAGTGGATTCATGGATTTTTTAAAAATGAGGTTGAAAAACTTTTGTCATAATTATGAACTACTGCATTTAAAAATATTTTACAACAAAAGTCATATTACAATTGTTTTAAAAGTTACAATAAAATAACTACATCTGGATGAAACACTTTTTTTGGGCTTGATTAGAGTAAATATATTGCTGTTCCTCTCCACCTCTAAACACACACCAAACCCATGTGGTCTGTTTACAATTAAACATTTCCTGCAACATTGTGCCTTAAACCCTATTTTTATATAATGCCCTTCAATCTGTAATTTAAATTGAACCAATCAAAAATTGAAGAGGTGGAAATATACATTCTGTAAATTTAAAAGACTATTTGATTACAGAAGGAAGAAGTGAGCATATTGACTTTATGCTCTTGTCAAGGGAAGAGAAGGGAAGAGAAAGGTAAATTGGTCTGCTTGAGCCCCCAGTAGCTTATAATATTTGAAGGTGGGCTTGGCCACAATCTGGAATTATAAATAGGAGCATTATTTTAAGAGAAAAAATAGACTTCATAACAACAACATCTTACTGTTTACATTCCATTTGTTTCTGTATTTTTCAAAATCTATAGCTTTATTTATTTTATATTTAATTAGCTTAATACAGGTAGTCCATGACTTAAAACCATTCATTTAGTGACCACTCAAAGTTACAATGGCACTGAAAAAAAGGACTTATGACTGTTTTTTACACTTACGACTGTTGCAGGATCCCCATAGTCACATGATCAAAATTTGGATGCTTGGCAAATGATTCATATTTATGATGGTTGCAGTATGCCAGGGTCCTGTGATCACCTTTTGCGACCTTCTGACAAGTAAAGTCAATGGGGAAACCAGATTCACTTAACAACCACATTGCTAACTTAACGATTGCAGTGGTTCACTTAACAATTGTGAAAAGGAAGAACATAACATTGGGCAAAACTCTCTTAACAACTGTCTCACCTAGCAATGGAAATGTTGAGCTCAATTGTGGTCATAAGTCAAGGACTACCTGTATTTATATGCCACAATAAGACACCTTACCTGTGCACATAATGCAGCTGATGAATGGAATGAATAGCAAGAACCATTTCACCAATGTAGAACCTGGCCATATCTTCCGGAAGCTTGTCTTCAAACTTGCTAAGTAATGTCAACAAATCACCACCCACATAGTAGTCCATTACTAAATACTAAAAAACAAGAACACTTACTGGTAAGAATCACTGCAGAATTATATCATAACTGATTAAATGAAATGTTCACTTGAATACAACTTTAATATATGCTTGTGAAAACTGGAATCAAAGTGAGTGGTTTAACTGGACACAATGACTTTAACTGCTCCCACTTAACTAATAAATAAATTATCCAATTAAAATAAACATGGGAATTTAAATTAACCTAAGCTATTTCACATGCTAGACACATTCTCCCTTCCCCTACTATTTCATATACATATACTAGTTTACAAAAGTTATTATTATTATTAATATAATTAAAGAAATATCACTTCAAACTTAGTAATTGTCATAGGAATAATTTAGAAGGAAAATGAGAATGAAAAAAATTCTGATCATAATGTTCAAGAGCGTTCTTTCTTTTTCCTTTGTTGGGGAAAAAATAATTTAAATGTCTTATGTAAAAACCAACGAAATGTATGGTTTAGGATGCTAAAATATGGTCCCAGTGGGTACATGATGCAGTAACTATGCTGAGGCTAAGAATTATGATGAGGCTGTCATTATCTGGGTAAAAGATTACTTGCAAAACCAAAATGCACTGCCTCAATTGTTGTATGAAAACGTTCATGTGCATAAATTCCTTTCAATTAGATTATCATAAAAACGGGATTCACTGCGGTTATAGTCAACAAAGTAGATTTTTCATGGGTGAATTTTACTTTGATAACAGTTTCCTAGATATTCTATTCTATTCCATTCCATTCCATTTGAGTGGGCAGCTATATTAAATCTAAATAACAACAACAATTCAGTAGTTCAATGTCAGTATTTCTGGCAGAAAGTTAAATCAGAAGAGTAAATTGCTGGAAAATATAGATTAGCCAAGCTATACATAATAATTGCTTGTTAATTAGAATTTTTCTAATTTAAATTTAAATATACTATTTTCTTATTTTTTTTCTAGCCCTAGGCTGATCACAATAAAATATTTTAATTCCTGTCCACATTTTAAACAAATATAAAAATGAAAACATTATCAAAAATGGCCTCCTACATCAACAGGGAAACCATGGGTGAAATATGCTTTATGACTTAAATGTGCTCTACTGAACTTGTTAAAGAATATTAAACAATATTATGTGTAATTTTGACAAATTATAAATTAAGGCTTCTGCCTAATCAGACTGCAAAGTAACATTGTGATAATAAATGGGTGAATTAATATGATATGAACAAAGGAGGGAGCTAGCTCTCAGTCATCTGTACTTTTGTCAAGGTTCTTAAAAACTGCCTCTATTTCAGACACTTGAAATTCTTCCTCTGGCACTCCTTTCCTTAACAACGCTTCTCAAAGACCAAAGCAATCAAAATATCCCAAGTAACTATTTGTATTTTTTCCATCTCAGTTTTTTTTGACAAGATGGCTATTTACTTCTGATTGGATGCAAACCATTTAGGAACCTCCAAACATTTATACCAGGGATATAATCCTATGCACACTTACCTGGTAGTAACTCATTGAAATCACCAAGATTTATTTCTGAGTAAACATGCATAGGATTGTACTGTAAAGGTGGTTTCTTTTCAATACTATTCCAGTTTTTACTGTCCGCAAGTGCTTCAGAGCTGAAAATGAACATTACAGAAGCCACAGTTGGCCCACAAACCGGTTTGGCCACTTCTGGATTGTAACAGCAGTCTTGAGATTTTGTGTATAAAATGACACATTAATAGCACTGTGCCAAGATAAGTAGCTAGATGATAAATTTTCAATTGAACAACTTATTTTATCTAATTAAGTTAACTCTAGCTCATTGTACTTAATAGCAAACTAGAGATGGAAAATAAAGTAACGTGTAAATGGTTAGTTTTGATTTTTTTCTTTCAAAATAAGAAAATAAACAATTACATATTCACCCAAAAGGAAGATGATTCTAGATTTTAGAAGATTAAACTACTTTTCAGTTGTGATTGCCAATTTCTATTTCAAATTATTTTATAAAAATATTTACTCCTTACTATATTTCAGAAAAAAACAGAATCAGAGGCCCATTCCAAGAAAGAATACAACCAAGACAAATGTTTGATGTTCAATTAAATTAATGACTGCAAATTGCCTGTAAAATATGGTATCTCATCTGTACATTTAATTAAGCACCAATTTGCATATACAAAGAGACACACAAACCAGTCCTATAGATATTATACACAAGTTTGCATACCCTCACTGCAGTGAGAGATTGCAGAAATGTGGGCTCAGCTACCATAAATTTCTGCATGTTTATTTGCAAGTGTGCTATGCTGTGGAAGTTCTGCTTAGCCAAGCTTATTCCATGTAAATGGAATGTAAAGTGAAGAAGAAATTCTTGGGTTCTGAGCTGCAAGAAGAAAACTGGAGGTCTCCATACTGGGCTGCAATCATATTCACAACTGCAGGCTAAATGCCATTAAATTCTGTGTCCATTACTTCTAAGAAAGAATGCTTAGGACTTTTAGTTCTGTTCATTCAATTTGGTAGTCCTGTTTTTATCTCATCATCCTTCATGCATGAAGACTAAGGAATTGCAATAAAGAGCTTCTCTATCCATTGATCAATGATGATTTTCTTGAATCCTCAGGGTCTCTCCATTGCAAACAATTACCAATTGCATACAGAGAGTGCTAATAAATATTCTTGTCTTCTCTTCATTAGAAGATGATGGTAGGCTATAACAGTGATTTCTCCTATTTCCACTACAATAATTCCTTCCTTTTCAGCGGTTTGTACCTCTTATTTTTTCTGTTCCAGTATTCTCAACAAATGCAAATCAAAATGGCACCAAATTGGATCACACCAAGCTGGGGGCAATTACTAATACTTTGGAAGATAGACTCAAGATTCAGACTGACCTTGACAGACTTGAGATTGGACCCTGTCCAAAAAGATACAGTTCAGTGGTGAGAAAAGTAAGGTCTTGCACTTAGGCAGGAAAAACCAAGGCACAGATACAGGATAGGCAGTACCTGGCTCAACAGTGGTTCCTGTGAGAGGGATCTAGGTGTCCTGGTGAATCACTGCTTAAGCAGCGTGCTGCAGCTGCCAAAAAAGCCAACACACTCCTAGGCTGCATCAACAGAGGGATAGCATCAAGACCACAGGAAGTGATAGTACCATTCTACACTGCACTAGTGAGGCTACATTTGAAATACTGCATCCAGTTCTGGTCACAATACAAAAAAGATGCTGAGGCCCTAAGAAGACTGCAGAGAACAGCAACAAAGATGTTAAGGGGTCTGGAGGCTAAATCATACAATGAACAGCTAAAGGTACGGGTATGTTTAGCCTAACAAAGAGAAGGCTCAGAGAAAACATGAAAGCAATCTTCCAATAATTGAAGGACTGTCACAGGGGAAAGGTTATTGATTTATTCTAGGATAAGAAGCAATGAATGTAAGCTCATCAGAGAGAGATCCAATCTGGAAATAAGGAGGAATTTCCTGACAGTGAGAATGATTAATCAATAGAACAGCTTGCCTCCCAAAGCTGTGGGTGCTCCATCACTGAGGTTTTCAAGAAAAGACTGGACAACCATTTGACCGGAAGGTACAAGGACTCCTGACTTGGACAGGAAGTTGGACTAGAAGACCTCTATGGTCTCTTCCAGCCCTGTGATTCTATGAAAATCTCCTTCCCCTCACAGATGGCCTTACTGGAAGGGGAGAGGAGAAATCTTCCTTTTAGATAAATACAGTTGATAATGCTCTGAATTCAAAATATTTTGAACTGAGAAACCAGATTACGAACTACTTCTTTATAGGCTTGTTGTACACACACACACCAAATAGTTTTCATCTTGAAAAGCATAGTGCAATGTTGTAATCCACTGACAGTCTCCATTCACCAAAACATCTCTCTCTTCTCGGAAACAAGCAGTCTAGAAATAAGAAAGTAAAAAAGCGAGAGAAAAGTTGTTTAATTAATCTCTTGACCTTAACAAACAAGGATGCAAAAATTATATTGTTTATGTAATATGAAATTGTAACATTTGTAAATATACCTCTGCAATAATTCAGTATTTAAACCAAAGAACAAAACTTTTCATAGTGAACCAAAAATTATTTTAAAATCAAATTTAAAAAGCATGGTAGCATTGGATTCTTGAAGTAACGTTTTAATTTTATAGTAATCTGAATGTTTTTAAAATACCTACTGCAATGTCCAGCCTCTTAAAGATAAACATACTGATAGCCTTCAAGAGAATACGAAACTTACAAAATGTTTACTTAAAACAAAACAAAACAAAAATAGACTAGAGAATGGGCAGTACAAACCTGCCCAATTTATCCATTAATGATTCCTGGAAATGGGAGCTGAATTCCTCACATATATCATATAAGTCACATATCTCTGAGCCTATTTCTCCCTCTACTTACCCCCCACTAATCTTATATGCTTTAAGTATTTAAGGGTCATGATTACTTCCAAGAGAAACAAAAAGGGGAAGATAATTATGAGTTCAGAAGAAGTACTTTCTTCTGTTTTAATGAATGTCCTGGCTGAAGGCTTTATGTTACAAAGGATGTAAAACCCATAGTAGTGTCTAGTTTTTAGGAACAAAGCTTAAAATTAGGATTTTTAAGCATAGATCATAAAACATATTTCCATCTAATTTCCTATTTGAACTCTTAGATCCAGAGCATGGGTCTCTTACTTCTACCTCTTACTTAGCCTGAACCACAAAATTCCAAGTCTATTCAAACAACTATTAACCCTACTTCCAAACTCCAGCCACTATTATAAATTTAAACGTTAAATTTCAGAATTAGATAAGTCATAAGAGCTGCCACAAAATAGTCTCTGATGTGGCAAGGCGTTTTCTAACTGCATCTTTCTTCAAAAGCTTCTAATTTGTTCAAACTGTGGTTTTTTTCATTCAAACTGTATGAATATGTGACTACTCTCCAAGTTTCCACAAAAAATAACAAACTCAAACTCATTTAAATCAGGCAATACTAAGGATAGTATCAGATAGGCCAAGGAATCATCTACCTTACATTAAACTTTTAAACTGCCTCTCTTTGGAGATTCACTGGTATTTATTCTATTCCATCTCTAAAACTATTATTCACTGTTTACTATAGCAGCATTTCTTTCTTATTTTACACTATTTATTTTATCAGCTTTGCACTATTTAAAGAATAAATCCATAAAGTTTGTTAAGGGCCTGGAGAATAACAATCTATTTTTGTTCTATAACATTAAGTGGCCAGATTATATTATTTCAATATGAAAAATATCTTGCAAAACATATCAAATAATTATGAATTTGTTAAGCTGAATCAGCATTATCTATAAACGGTTGCAATCATTTTTATAGAAGCTATAATGATATAAAAGTGGAAGATTCTTAAACAATCATCAGTTGGCTTCTGTTATCATTATTTCAGGGTCATAACACAGAACATTTCTATGCATCACTCAAAAATATGCTTCACTAAGTTCAATTAGTGCAGAAACACATGGTCAATTTACTTTTTCCTTATTTTCATGCATGAACTACCCAGTTCCTTATTTTTGCCTAATAGTTTTATTATCCACTAGTTCTTCTTTCATTGTGGCATACCCCAGAATAAGTATAATTACATAATTATGAACGATTAATTGTAATAATTTGAACTATCCTAGGTAGCATGAAGGAAATTTCTAAATCTGCTATAAATTAGCACTACAAAAATCAACCTCCTTATGACATAATGTACAAGGTTATAACTTTTCAGCAAATATTATTTGGGTGGAAAAGATTATAGTATTTGTTTAAAGTCTGGGTCAGAAGCATTTACCTATGTTTTATAATTTGGGAATATATCCAGCAATTCATTGTAAGTGGACCTTCCCTTAAAATATTTGAAAAGCTTTACACAATATAGAGTGCTGAACAGCAGGACTTTTCTACGTAGACGTAGTGGGAACTAAGCTGCACTGATTCAGCAACCTCTTCCAAAATATTTAAAGAGATTTAGGATCCCTAATGTATACAGTATAAGCCTGTATCTATACAAATGTGGTATGGAAAAAGCAAGTCAAGAGTTTGAAATGCCCTACTTTGAGAAACAACTGTTTTGAATACGAAACGGGCTATTTCAAGCCTTTTGAGACCTTTTCAAACTTACCCATTTCCAAAATGGTTGAAATTGCCCATTTTGAGTTTATAACAGCTGCTTCACATTTGGATGGGATATTTTGAATTCAAATTAAGGCATTTTAAATTCAAATCAATTGGATTTGAAATATTTTGCATATCTTTACCAAAAACTCTTTTAATTCTTACTGAATTTGGCTATATTTTTATACATCATTTTAGTGAACCTGTTAAGGTATCAGACTAGAAACCTGGAGACTTAGGCACAAAACAAGCTGGGTGACTTTGGGTTACTCACTTTCTCTCAGCCCTAACACTGGGAAGCAATGGCAAACAACTTCTAAAAAAAACTTACCAAGAAAACCTCAGGGACTGATCAAGGCAGTCTCTGAGAATCAAACATGCTTGAACAGGAAAATAAGGCTGTATAAATCTTCATACTTAAAAATATTGGCAAATGAATTCTTGCTTTATATATGATATAATGCATATTACATTAAATATATATTATAATAAATAAAATATGTAAAATATATTTATTTAATAATCAACAGTCCTTAATTGATTTATTTGTGCAAAATCTACTTCTTTATAAAAATGAAACCAAACATCAGCCTTCCTTGAAATCCTGACTTTCAATGTAACCAAAGTCCAAGCTTCCATCTAGTAATTAACTTGGTTTTCATAGTAAATAAAAACCATGCTATATGAAAAAAAAATGGGGCAGACAGACTGGTAAATATAATGCAGATAGTGATAAATGCCACAAAAATACGATATTTGAGATAAAAAATCTTCAGGAAAAAAATTAAATTCCTATGTGCTTAAGTAGTAACTGTTTAATGCCGACAAAACTTCATTGTTATCTTCTTTAATACCATTTATAAAGAAATCTGAATTGAAAATATCAGACTTACCTCTGCCCTTTTAAGCATTTCCCATTTATTTAGGATTTTCATTGCATAAATGCGCTCTGTGCACTTCAGTTTTACAACTGCAACCTACAATTTAAAAAGTAAAAATAACTCCAAGACATTCTAGTATTATTTATTTATTTCAGTTTTGAAGCCACTTGACTCTCGGCATGTTACAGATAAAAACTTAAAAGAAAACAAGGTATATGAGGGGAAAAAGACATCAATCAGAGACAACATCCAACTAAACAAAGGCAAAACTTACAACAGCTCACTGCAAAACTGGAGGGGAGTGAAGCAGTGAATTGGTATCTCGCTTAATGACCCTTCACTTAACAATCCAGATTCTGTGCCAAATTGGGGTTGTAAGTGAACACTACTTGTATCCATCATTAAGAATCTTGGCTACTTTCCATAATGACATAATTTGTTCCCTACAGGGAGTGGCTGACATGAGAATTGTTTTCCCTCATTTTTATTACAGTTGACATAGGGGAAAGTTTCCATGAACCCTCTTACTTAGATTTTGGCTTGAACAGCAAAGTTAATTTTACTACAGGTAGTTGTTGACCTATGACCTCAATTGAGACCAACATTTCTATTGCTAAGCATGACAGTTGTTAAGTGAGTTTTGTCTCATTTTATGACTTTTTCAGTGCCGTTGTAACTTCGGATGGTCACTAAACAAATGGCTATATGTTGAAGACTATCTGAAGTGTTCTTCTTTGTTCTAGCCTTTATTGATGGGGGGGGGTAATCTACTCACATCTGTCCAAATTAAAAACAACAGATAGCAAGTAATGGGGGGGGGGAATCCTCATTGCCTAAAAGCTTTGGAGAATCATGCAAGTGATACCAGGCCACACAAAGAAATCAAATAGTCTATTCTTTAATAAGACATAGCCTCAGAAAAATAGCTATGACTATTTTAACTGAAGAAAAAAAAAATCCTAAATAAAATTGAATGTATATGGCTTCTATTATGTAAATATATTTGGGGGACAATCAAAATTAACTGAATAACATGCTGACATCTTTAGTAAGAACACTGCAACTTGATAGATGATTTAAAAATAGTGACTGGTCCTAATAATAGCAGAGAAAATAATTAGGTTAGCTTTGTCCTGAGACTAGAATATCTTTTAAGCACAACTATTTATACTTTCATTGGACTTTAGGGGACTTTGTCCTGGACTTTTAGCTTTGCCCTGGGGCATAGTATAGAGATGGCATTGAACACATTTGTCAGTAACGTCTCACAGAATCAGGACAGCAGTGGTGCAATTGTTCAGATCTCTCAGTGGCTTTTGATACCATTGACCATGGTAACCTTCTGGATGGACTGCAGGAATAAGAGTGGAGGCACAGTATTGCAGTGGTTCTTTCTCTGCAGTCAATTCTATTGGTATTGAAGATATTGAAAAGTGGGTACAGGATGGCACTAGATTGGATGTTTTCACCCATCCTGTTTAACATTTACAAGAAGTGTTGGGTGATGTCATTCATCAACAGAGACTCATGTATCAACAATATGCTGGTGATACCAAATTGAAAATCTCGAGCCCAATCTGACCAAAGGATTCTGTCTTATACCAATGTCTGAAGGCTACTGGGGTTGGATGGGAAGAAAGAAACTTAAACTCAGTCTTGATAAGACTAACTGGCTGGGTATTTTTGTCTGGCACCATGCATTCTTCCATGATTTGGATGAGGGGATAGATGGGGAACTCATCATATTTGCAGATGACACCAAGCTGGCAGGAATAGCCAACACTCCAGAAGATAGGCTTAAGATATAGAAGGATCTTGACAGACTTGAACATTGGGCGCTATCTAACTAAATGAAATTCAATGAAGAAAGTAAGGTTCTACATTTAGGCAAGAAAAACCAAATGCACAGGTACAGTATAGGTGGTACCAAGCTCAATAATAGTAACTGTGAGAGGAATCTTGGAGTCCTAGTGGATAATAATTTAAACATGAGCCAGCATTGTGCTGCAGCTGCCAAAAAAGACAACATGGTTCTGGGCTGCATTAACAGAGGGATAGAATCAACATCACGTGAAGTGTTAATACCATTTTATAGTGCCTTGGTAAGGCCACACTTGGAATACTGCATCCAGTTTTGGTCACCATGATGTAAAACAGATGTTGAGACTCTAGAAAGAGTGCAGAGAAGAGCAACAAAAATGATTAGGGGAATGAAGGCTAAAACATATTAAGAATGGTTGCTGGAATTGGGTATGTCTAGTTTAATGAAGAGAAGGACGAGGGGTGACATGATAGTTCCAGTATCTCAGGGGTTGCCACAAAGAGGAGAGAGTCAAGCATTCTCCAAAGCACCTGAAGGCAGGATGAGAAGCAATGGATGGAAACTAATCAAGAAGCAATCTAGAATTAAGAAGTAATTTCCTGACAGTTAGAACAATTAATCAGTGGAACAACCTGCTTCCAGAAGTTGTGAATGCTCCAACACTGAAGTTTTAAAGAAGAGATTGGACAACCATTCATCTGAAATGGTATAGGATTCCTGCCTAAGCAGGGGGTTGGACTAGAAGACCTCGAAGGTCCCTTCCAACTGTTATTCTGTTCTGTTCTGAAATGGGGTAGTACTCCCCAGGAGAAAACTAGTGTGCAATCTGGACTCATAACTCCTGCTTGAAGAGTAGATCCACCTATAGCCAGGAGGTATCTTCACTGTTGCATGTTGCAATAATCCACACAAAAAGATAATGTTATGAATGATTATGGCAAGGGGTTCCTGACCCTTGAAAACCACCCCAAAACTACAATTGATCTAGAGCACATCAACGGATGAAGTTATTGACACACCTTGAAATGTTTGTGTAACATCTTTGAATGCAAACTGCACTGGTTAACAGTTAGCCTCTGGTTGCAATTCAGAGTGCTATTTAAGACTTCTAAAGTTCTTCATGGACTAGGTTGGGCCTGGCTATCTGAGGGACCATCTTTTTCCTATTTTTTCTGCCCATTCAGTAAGATCTGACAGAGTGGGCATGTTCCAGATTCTGTCTTTAAAATATATCATCTGATGGGATCTCAGGGGTATGCTTTTTCTGTCACAGTGCCTGCATTGTGCAACAGTAATCTCTAGAGGTCTGAGTTATCTTGATCTTGACATTCTTTAAATAGGTCTTGGAAGATCTGGCTGTTTCCATAAGCTCTTGGTTAGGAAATATGTGCCTTTGTGAGAATTTTGTTAATGTGTTGTATATATTAATCTCCTGCTTTCTTTTTCTTTTGTAGTATTTGTTTTTAACTTATACACTGGGGATGGTTGTTATGAATTCATAACATTATAATTCATTATAAATAATATTGTGAGACGTAGCATACCATACAGATAATCTTTATTTATCTAGCTTCCATTGTAGAAGAGAGGTAAGTTCAAAACAAATAATTCTTCCACTGGAAGAATCTTTATTCATCAGTCAGTCAACAATATGTTTCCTTAGTCATCTGGGAGCTTTAAAGGTATCTTACCTCACCAAATGCACCTCTGCCAATGACTTTTATGATTTCAAAGTCATCTCGATGAAGTTGCATTTCCTTCACCAACTGTGTAAATGGTTTGGCTGTTTGAAAATAAGAGGTAATCTCAAGTTAAAATTTGTATATTGTATACTGATATAAGCTTTTGGATTGGTATCAATCGGTATATTAGTTAGATTTGATAATAAGTCATCAAAAATTGCTACCTCTATCACATACTATATGGTCAAGAAGAAATCAATTCTTTTTTTTCTAACAACAAAGAATCTTATCTAGTCTTCCTAGCACAACTAGTCAATGGATTTAAAAAAATGGGTGTCCAAAAAAAAAGCTTCCAACACATCTGCATTTTTTCAGTCCAAATAAAAATGCTAGCTGAGCTAGGAAGTAAGTAGGTAGTAAAAATTCTCAGAGATACAGAATGTAACAAGTATTAATAAAATTAGCAAAAGTGCTAACCTTAAAGAAGAGCCTCAAGCCTAGCTGCAAGAAATTAACAATTAGCCTCGGGAAGACAAGGCTTTCAGAAAGCTCTAAGGCACAGGTATCAAACTTGCCGCGTCATGTGACATGTTGTGACGTATTGCAACTTTTTTTGCATTGCCGGAGCTGGGGTGGGCATGGCCTCAGCATGATGCAATCGGCCCGCAGGCCAGCAGTTTGACACCCCTGCTCTAAGGTAAAAGTAATGCTTCAGATCAAGAATTATTTGGCCTTTGAATCTAAAAGAATCATTGTATAAAGTTCCATATTACCACTGTCTTATTAGCTCATACTTAATGTGTCCTATTAAATATTTTAATGTGCATATACATTAATGCAATGATTAATCCTAACCTTACTGATCACAAAATTAACTAGTTTGGTGTTGTTTATATCTAATCAAATGTTTATTACTGCAATCAATCAGTTAAAGATGATTTGCATATATCAATAAAGACGTTTTGTGCTCCATACCTTTCAGACTTCTCTATTCTGTCTCCAGTACCAAAATTTGTCAATAAACTTTTGCTTTAATGTAATTGGGCACTTAAATATATTCCTGAGAGAATTCTCCTATAGCAGTTGACACAATGTTGCCAATGCCACATTCAATAAACAACTTTGTCTATAAGTTTCCTTTCCCAGATATCTTCACAGGATCTTCAAATGGAAGTATTAGGAACAAACCTGGTTTTCTGATGGACACCAATTGATCCCATGTTCAATTACTAACCTTATATAATCTTGAAGTAATACCCACACTAGATCTAGAAGTACAATTTACTGATAGTTCACTGAGTGCATGGAGAGATAATTCTTATGTACTGTCTTCAGTCATTTCAAATAAAACTAACTGCTTATCAAGCCAAGTCCTAGAGATTTCATTATGTTCCATCAACTTAGTGTTGACTCTGAATGACCACATAGATCAATTTTCTCCATGGCAATCTGTCCCTAGGCTGGTCTTTCAGGTCTTCCAATGGAACATCCAACACTACTATAATTGAGTCTAACCAGTTTACTCCCATTCTTCTTCCCTTTCCTTCCATCTTTCTCAAGCATTAGAATCTTCTCTAGAGAGCTAGAATTTCACATCATGTGTCTGGAGTAGGATAATTTGAGTGTGATCATTTGTGATTTGACTGAGAACTCTTGAGTTCATTTGTTCAATGATCCATTTGTTCCACACACACACACACACCCTTGGCTGTCCGCAGTATATATCAAAGTCTTCCTCAACACAAAACTTCAAAAGTACCAATAGTCTTTCCATTCTGCTTTTTCAAAATCCAATTTCTCTTTCTATATTGCAGAGAATACCATTGCTTATACTATTTTGATATAAACATATCATATAAACATCTGAATGTCTTTTTCAAGGCTTTCATGAATACCAGTCTACAGCATATTTCTTAACAGCTTGTTCCTTTACTGTTGATGTTTGATCATAAAAGGCAGAAGGTTACACTTCTTTTTATCTTAATTATCAGTTCTACAACTTATAACAGCCATTAATTAAACCACTAAATAAGGAATAAACATGGTTTATAAATGACAATGGTTTGATTCACAAATAATCCAAAACCACATTAGAGTTTAGCATAATACATGAATAATCACAAAAAAAAAATTGAAGGCATGTTTAGTGCATTTTAATATGTATTTGTATAACACATGACCCCACAACTCCAAAAGTGAACTTATTCTTATTCCAAGTTTACCACATTTTCAATATTCACATTCTAGAAATGCATGCACCCACAAGCAGCTATAAGAAGTTTCCAAGTAAGATAAGAACAATTCTTAAATAACCTGTCCTGGCCATGGAAATCAGACACACTAGTAAGTTTTATATTTTTACTAAAAAAAGTTTCCAAACAGAACTTTAATGGCAAAAAAGATTGAACAAACAATCATAATTTCTCACACCCAAAATACCCAGCCCACAAAAACTCAACCAACTTAAATTAGAAATAAGAAAGACTTTAAATTGTAAACAAGGTACTAGAGGGTCAAAAAAAAAAAATACAATATAAGGGTTCAGGGTTACTGCTTGAGAGGGTAGGCTTAAGGAATTCAGGAATACAATGGTGAAGTAAATGGAGAATTGTTGCCAATGGACCTGTCAGGCACACAGCTTCTCTTACATAAAGGTAGCATGATCCGGATTTGTTCCATGGGGGGAGGAGGGGTTCATTCTGGCCAATAGTCTTCCTGAGTGCCTTTGATCAGCCCACCTCTTTTCAAATTGAGAGAAGGTGCTAGTTCCACCTCTTCATCTTCTGAGGCCAGGGATAGCTGCTTCTCCTGGTTTCTAAGCAATGCTGCTTTCCCTGCCTGACTCTTCCAACTGAATCCCCTCAGGCTACTGACCCTCCTGTAAATCCTCTTCATCTTCAGAGTCCGAGCTGGCCATGACACTAAGGGTAGCAAGAAATCAGTAAATCTCACAATAACCCTGGCATTCTATTTATTCTAATCCTCTTTTGAAATTAGCAGCCAATCTACTTAAAAGAAGTCATTGAAATAAAACAGACAACTCTGATCCATTAATAACTCAACAAATTATGAAATCAACTTTCAACAGATAAATTAGCATAAGTGTGAACCTAGCTATTACATATTGATTCTATGTTCTATGTTCTATAATCACTGACTGGTCTGAAAGTTCCATTTTATAAGAAAGAGTTGTAGCATCTTAAATACAAAGACATTTATTATTAAATAAACTTTGGTGGTCTATATCAGATGTATGGAATATTGAGACAAGAATATAACCCTACCCATAATTAGAAGCAGGGAATAGCTGAAATAGTAAACAAATAAGTGAGAGGAAAAAGAAAAGCAGAAAGTAGTGGCAATGACAATTCCTTCATAACAACAGCCAATAGTTGTTGAATATGACAAATGCTTCTAGCATGTTGTGTTGAATAACCTTTATACAGTCATATAAAAAAGAAAGTACACTCTCTATGAATTCTATGGTTTTGCATATCAGGACATAGTAAAAATCATCTGGTCCTTAGCAGTTCTTAAAATTAGGTAAATACAACCTCAGATGAACAACATATTACATCATGTCATCATTTATTTTTCAAAAAAGAAAGCCAAAATCTTACTGGGGACTGATTCTATTTTCCATCTAATAGTTGAGGGAAAGTGGGAAGAAGAAGAAAGGATGAATATTTGTGTTCCACCAAGAACAGATTCTGTGGCAGCAGTTTCACCTGCATCTCATAGGTACATATAAGACATTGTTTGTAAGAGAAGAACTGACAGATTGACATTTGAAGCAGAATAGCAGAAAGGAGAAGGGAGGAAAAAGCAGACACATAGTGATGGGGAGGGGAAGTATGAAAGTCATGATTTACTTAATCACCTGAGGTATTTACAATAGGTTGCTAATAGTTCACACACAACACAATGGCATGAACCATGCTTTCCCAGAGTTAGTGGCTGGTTAATATATTAAATTTAGCCAAAACCTAGTAAGTGATGTATAATAGCTTAAACACAAGGTTGGAACTCTGTCAGTGATGATTCACATAAGTTTAGTAAATTTCCTCAGAAGATTGTAGGGAAAAGATGAAATAACAATTTCATTTTTAAAGTTTAAAATATTTTACAACTTTCAAAAATAAAACAATAGATCAACAATTTGTAGCACAAAGTATCAGTCAATTAAATAATGTCACGTCTCAGAGCATCAAGTTTCTCTGTCACAGCACCTTTCCTCTGCAATAGTATTCCCCCAGATATTTCCATATGGCTCCCATCCTGATGCTGCAAAAGGCACTGAAAACCTGATGATTGGAGGTGCCTAGCAGGGCTTGGGATGGTAGAGAAGTGAATTAATTACTTTAAAAAAACACACCATAAGATTGCACAAGGTCACTCAGTAGGCTACATGCAATCTGCAGGCCATATGTTGTACAGTCCTGATCTATGCTATTCCATAAATAATAGTGGCAAGTCTTTCAAAAAAAAAATCTATATCAGGCATGAATTGAAAATACCAGAAAATGTGGGATTTTGAAACAGCTCTGTTTTGACTTTAAAAGATTCTGTATTTGCTTGAGAAGTCCAAAGTCCAAAGTTTATTTCTTGCTCTCAAAATTGTGACATCTTGATCACAAAAAAGAGTAGTTTGTATTCAAAATTTTCTGCACATATCTAATTCTTCCTAATTAAGGGAATATTAGCCTACCTCCAAATTGGTCAGCATACTGAAAATATGAGAATGGAAGATTTATAAACAGAATCAAGTATGCCTGCAATGGAAAACTGGTACCCGCTGTTGATGGGCTAAGTCTAAATCTCTCCTGAACACTTAACATCACATAATAAGGCATTTTCCTACTTCTGTAAATCTCACTCTTATGGAGAAACACTTTAAATTACACAAAGATCTTTGAAAAAATTCCACCTGAATATTGTCCCAAAATTAAATGTTAAAGGAATACACTATTTTAAAAGCATTTGTATCAAACACACCAGTGAAAACTAATTCTATTGCTAATTACACCATTGTTTATTTAATAAATGACAGTATATTGCCTGTCAGTTTCATTAAAGGTAAAGATAAGGTCGTCTAAGACTT